CGAGTTTCCGTGGACTTCCCCGGGCGTGCCTGGGCAAGCGCCGAGCGCGCGCGCGGAGGCCCAGCTGCATGCTCATGAAGCCAGTGGGCGAGGAAAAACCAACCCATGTGGATCAAAAAAGGTTGGTTTCGGCGGAGGAGGTCGCGGCCTCGGGCATGGGGTTAGGTCGGGCATGTCCCGTGCAGGGGGATTTTGGACGACCAATTCAAGATGCATAAAAATACCCCCAAATAGCAAAACATGTTTTTTTTTATATTATTAAAAATCATCGTCCCCTGACACATTTTGATCATTTCCGCTGTAGAGGGACAGGCCGAACTTAAGCATGGGGCTCAGGGCAGGTGGGCGACGCCAACGGCTCGGCGGGAGGAGCGGCTGCGTCGGCCGTGCCACGAGAGGTCGGACGACGATGTGCTGCAGCAGGTTAAGGGCGACTTCCGGCAAGCCTGGCTGCAGACCGTTTCGCAGAAGTACGCCAAGGGCACCAATGGGGCCGAGCGGGAAGAATGGATGCAGGCTTGTGAATTAGGTCGGGCCTGTCCCCCAACAGGTCGATTTGGGACGAAAAACAATACACTGTCCAAACATACCCCCCGAATGCTTAAAAATGGTGAACAACAATTAATCCCCGGATTATTTTTTGACTATTCCACCCTGTAGAGGGTAGAGGGGCACGCCCGACTTAAAGCTACGGGCGGGAGAACAGGATCGGGGTGCCCAAGGTGTCGAGCAAGAGTGTCTGGGCGACGAAAGCAGCGGACAGCAACGCGGAGCTCCGTCGCCGGAGGGTTCGCATCGTGGTGTGCGGCAACTTCGCGAACCACCGGGACCTGGATGTATGTACCTCGCAAATGGACGCGACGAGCTTCAGGGCTATCCTGCGGTTGGCGGCTGGGATGGGCTAGAAAATCGCGCTGCTGGACGTTAAGGCAGCGTGTATCAACGCGCCGATCGATGACGATGACGTTGTGCTTGTCCAGCCACCAGCTTTCCTGGTTGTTACTAGGCATGTGAAAAAGAACAGGGTGTGGAAGCTGGTGCGGGCCATGCATGGGCTCAGGACCGCGCCTAAGATGTGGCAGAAGGAGCGCAACAGGAAAATGAAGGCCCTGAAGCTTCCCGACGTCTCGTACCTGCAGTGCATGAGCGTGGACGTCGTCAACGACTGGGCCAAAGTGCTGGAGGGAGTCTGGAATATGTCCGTGCCCGAGTTCATCCTGGCAGGGAACCTCGGTGCGCGCATCAGATTCTGCGGGGCTGTCGTGGTCGGGGTCGAGAAAGGCATCAGTGTCAACCTGGCCGAATATACTCCGGACGTGCTGCGGAAGTGGGGCACGACGAACGCCAACCCCGTCGAGGCTTTTGGGGAGGAGAACCCGGCCCATGTCAGTAAAAAAGGATCGGTTTCGACAGTCGCCATGGCAACAGATAACATTGCGGACGGCGAGGCCGAGGCGCAGAAGGCCCCTGAGGGTGTCCGGGGTGAAGACGAGACCGAGATGGCGGAGGGCGCGGTGGAGTTGGCCGGCGTCAGCAGTGCTCAAGCTATCGCTGGGGCTCTGAACTGGCTTTCGGTCCGGACGAGGCCAGACATCGCGCACGCTGTATCCAGAATGTCCTCGCTCACCACGAAGCACCTCAAGGAGACGCACAAGCTGGCGAAGAAGGTTTTAAAGTACCTGGTGCACTGCGGAGGCGATCTTCACGGGAAAGTTCCAGGACGAGACTGACGTCACCCGTCTACACGGACGCCAGCTTCGCGCCGACCGGCCACAGCAGCTATTCCAGCATATTGTTGTTGTGGGATGGGGTCCAAGTGTCGTGGAGGGCGGCGTCAAAGCAGCAGATGATTGCCCTGAGCACGGCGGAGGCGGAGCTTCAAGCCATGACAGCAGGGATGCAGATGGCGTTGGGGTTCCAAGACTGCTTGCAGGAATTCGGCATACAGTCGAATCTCAAGATCTGCGCGGACAGCGGTCGCGCCATTACATGGTCAAGGCGAGCGCGACGAGGCAGGGAATCTCTTTGTGCGTGGTATCGCTTCATTCTGTGCGGTCGTCTCAGCAGAAGGCGGACGTACTGACACAGTTCCTTACAGGGCCTGTGATGAAGAATATTCGCCTCATGCTGGGTATGGCAAACGTCAACTAGACATGTGGCGCGCAAGTACAAATCGAGCGCTGGTGGCGCTGCAAGTGCAATGGCGCTTGTGGCCGCATGCAAAACCGATCCAATTGGATCAACATGGGTTGGGACGGCTTCGGCTCTCCTCACCAGCTTGGTGCCGCTATTGTGGCACGTGTTTTAGATGCTCCAAAGTTTGGCATTCGCCCGTGGCGTGTATCACACCGCGCGCCAAGTACGTGACATGACTATCGTTATTTTCCAGCATGGCCTGGAGGTGGGAACATGAGTCACTAATGTATCTTGTGAATGTACGGGAGCCTGGACGGGTTCCCCCGGGGCCGTAGGCGACCCGAGGAGGGGAGGGCGAGGAGAAGGAGGAGGAGGAGGAGGAGGGGGAGGAGGAGGGAGAGGAGGAGGAGAAGGAGGATGAGGAGGAGGAAGAGGAGGAGGAGGAGGGGGAGGAGGAGGAGGAGGAAGAGGAGGAGGAGGAGGAGGGGTCGCCTAAGCCCTTCAGAGAAATCCTCCGAGGGAGCCCAGGCAAGGAGTTGTGAGACGGTAGATCGTCTCTCCTGGAAGTGCCTGGCCTCCGCCCGTAGTCAATAATAAGGCTCAACAACAGAGCGCTCGAGAGCCCGAGCACAGGAAGGCGCACATCCGTCTATATCTCGCACTGGTCACTACACCTTTACCTTTTTCTACGCTGCCATCGCCAGCATGAGAGAGGTGAGTCTCAGAAGAGTCAGGAGAGAGGGAAAGGGGAGGGAAGGAGGGAGGGAGGGAGGGAGGAGTCAGAGGGAGGGAAGAGGAGGAGGGGGGAGGGAGGGAGGGAGGGAGGGACGGATGGAGGGAAGAGTCAGAGGGAGGGAGGAGCGGAGGGAGGGAGGGAGGGGAGGGAGGAGGGAGGGGAGGAAGGGACGGAGGGAGGGAGGGTAGAGTCGGAGGGAGGGAGCAGAGGGAGGGAGGGAAGGGAGGGAGGAGGGAGGGACGGAGGGAGGGTAGAGTCAGAGGGAGGGAGGAGCGGAGGGAGGGAGGGGAAGAAGAGGGAGTGAGGGAGGGAAGAGTCAGAGGGAGGGAGGAGCAGAGGCAGGGAGGGAGGGGAGGGGAAGGCCGTCGTCGAGCGTCGGGAACACGGCGTCAGGGCGCTCTGGCTGCCTGACAGGGGCCCCCGGGAGGTGCAGAGGCCGCTCCCCCCCTCGACACCATGCCGCGGTGCCTGCCGGAGGGAGGGAGGGAGCCCCCCCCCCTCTCCTAAACTCGGCGAGCGCGCGGGGGCTTCGATGGACTTCTCCCGCGCCCCGAGGACGAGGACAGTGTCGTGCCCCCCAGGCCCCAACGGTGCCGATCGCAAACCACACCCCAGCGTAATCATACCCTTTGTAGTCGCCGATAAAGGGTCCCCCTGGCAACGGCAGAGGATACGGCCAGGACTAGAACACAACCCCAGGATGCACCAGAGCATCCAGTCAGCACGAAGAACATTAGGGTACCCTCCCCGAACCGCCCTCGATCTGACACCTCGGTACAACCGTATGTCACTGCTTCCCCTGCCAATAACGTCGACCCCTGTCCCCGACTTCGTGGGGCTGTCGAGTGGACCAGAAATCTGGGACCCAGTCCAGGGATACCACAAGGGGACCAGGGGTACGCGGGGGGGGGGGGGGGCGAGCCGGGGACACAAGAGGGGACCAGGAAAACCACAAGGAGGAGACCAGGGATACCAGGGATACCAGGGACTTATTTTTTGTGTCTAGAATGGGCCAGGGATGCACGAGAGGGGGGGGGGGGGGGCGTGCAATCTCGCTAGGGAGGTGTGTCCGGATGGCTTCCCCTGGGGGGTGCATCCCAGAGTTCCCGCCCCTCCCGAGCGGCTCCACTTGTCGTCGGAGTCGCTGGTGCGCCGGGGGGCAGCGGCCGCCCCCCGAGCTCCCCTGGCCGCGGCCCAGGTGGAGGGCGGGCGCGGCGGCGGCTGTCTCTCGCGCGGGCCTTGCGCCCGTGCCCCCCCCCTCTCTCTCAACTTCTCGTCGGAGGGTCGGAGGGTGGGGGCGAGGAGCCACCTGCGACGCCGTGCCGCCTCAGGAGCTCGCCGTGCCCGCAAGTCGCTACGGTCGCTCCGTCGGGCATGGGGCGTGAGAGGGCGCCCGCGCCCTGCAGCCTGCTCGGGCCACCCTCCCCGACCCGCATCACACGTTTTTGTTGTACGGCGATTGCTGTCATACACAACAACAACAACAACAACAACAACAACAACAACAACAACAACAACAACAACAACAACAACAACAACAACAAAACAACGTGTGATGCCCCATCGGTTGTCATAACGGAACAGCGTGTGATGGCCCACAGGTTGCCACCACAGCAGAAGGAAAACACCTGGGATCGTCCCAGCGGCTGTCATAAAAAACAGCGTCATGTCCCATGGGCTGAGCTCTTGATTGAACATTTGGTGAAGTACGATGTGCCATCTCTAAATAGCCGAACTCTATACACCCACGCTTTTTTCCGGCCCCGCACTGAAACTCGCACAGAAAGGCGGATCCTGGTGTATACGGGATCCTGGTACACACATTTCCGTTGCTTCCCCGGGAAAGCGGTGAAAGAGTATACACCACACCAACCCGATGTCGTCCCCGACCCTAAACAAATCCTGGGATTGAAAAACAGCCCGCCACTGGTACACGTCGTTCATTTCTAATCGTGCTCATTTCTAATCGTGCTCGTTTCTAATTGTTCCTGGCTCCCTAGTGGCCAGGAAGAGGCCCAGGACAGAACAATTAGAAATGAGAGGATCTTGGCCCCCCAAAGAATCAACGAACTCTCGCAGAATTAGAAACGAACAACGTGCAATGTATATATGCTCCAGCTTCCGAATCTCAGCTCCCGCGAGCGCGCGCGCTGGCCTTCGGGAACGACAGCGACTCCAGGGCCTTCTTCGCGCCGGCCTCGTCCCCTGCCAGGCGGGGGGGGGGGGGACAGGGGGCGGCCGCGCGGCTCCCGCGAGGATCGCTCCCGAGGACTCCCTAGAACTCCCTAGGACGCCCTAGGACGCCCGAGGAATCCCTACGTAGGCAGGGCGAGGACAGATTCGGAGGAGGGTACAATCAGCCCATCTAATACGGATGCGCGGTAAGGAAGCAAGAGAAGGCCATGCCGACACTCTGCCAGCGGGGCGCGGCCAGCGAGAGCGGCCAAGGATGGGCCGCAGGGGAAGCATGCACGGGCAACCTTGGAACGTTGCTCATCCTTACTGAGCCTCTGAGGAGCCAACGGCTCCGGAGGATGTCCGTTAAGGTTCGTGCGGCGTCCGCGCGCGCCAAGCTTTTGGTGACACCGCGTCGATCGTTCAACCTTGCATCGATCGCGGCCCCGACCGTTCAAAGTTGAACTCAGTCGGGACCAGTGGCGCTACCGTGTCCATGGGTGCTCCCACGTCGCAGAATTCAACCTTGAACGCTTTCGCTGGCGTCGCCGGCGCGCCAACGCCGCGAGAACCCACCGTATCGGGCGCCGCGGTCCTATCAGAGAGTTCCGGATTGGGCCAGACATAGGGAGGGAAGACTGGTGCCATTTTCGGGCCCAAGAGGTCCCCTTCTGGGCCCTGAAGGGCCCCTCTTTCTGCGGCAGCCCTCGCAGCCCCCCCATTTATCTAGAGGCCTCCTAGATGGGGTCGGAGTAGATGGGGTCGGAGGATCACGCCGCATCGCCGATACATCGTCGATGAATTGGCGATGCGTCGGCCATGCACTGGCGACGTCGGTGCCGCATCGGCGACGTCGGCGTGGAGAAAATTGGGCCCCACATCAAGCCGCATCGCCGATGCATCGCCGATGCATCGCCGATAGGGCGCGATCCTACGACCCCATCTACTCGGACACCATCTAGAAGGCCTAGAATCTATCGCCCCCCATTGTTCCAAATCCCTGCTTAATCGTCCCCCGCGTCCGGCTTTTTTTAAGGCGCCTTTTTCGTAACTGGGGGGGTCCGGTTCATTAGGGTGCTTTCTTTGGATTGGAGCTTAGGGGGTCAGGTCTATCAAGGCGCTCCGTCGAAAGAGGGGGGTCCAGAATATGAGGTCGCATTTGGAAGGGGGTCCGGTTTTCTAGGGGGGGGGTCGATTAGTAAGGGATTTGAAGCACGCGCCCCCCAAGCCGTGGCCTTCTCAGAAAATTCTGGGACGCTCTGGAACGGACCGAGCCTCGCCCCAGCCCCGCCCGACGGAAGGGGCTCTTTTTTCGGGCCCCCCCTCGGGAGCATATCCAAGACGGATCCGGAAGAAAACGGGAACGGTCCCAGGGAGGGGCCGAGATCTCTGATGGGAAAGTGCACAGCAAGAGCTCGACTCGACCACAAGAGACCTTACACGAGAAGCCCAGCCCTGAGATCCCAGGGCGTCCATGGATTTTTGGTGTGTGGACGTCACCCTTTCCATCGCAAGACCATCGAAGCCCAAGAGGCCCAGGGCACCCTGGAGGCAAGCAGGGTGTTTCTCTGCATGGATTCCAACTGTCCCATCATGGTAGACAGGCATCGCCATAAACAGTGTGTTCCGTTTTCGCTCTGTATTCGTTTTCCCTCTTTTGTCTCGCTTCGCCGCAAGACGTAATCGAAACAAAAACGGCCCACGAAATCGCCAAAACAACCTTCAGGTCGACCACTGCGTTGTGCAAGGACGCGACGATCGCTCAGACATTTCGCTTACGTGCACGGTCGAACACTGGCGTGATGCGCACTACAAGCAACGTAACAACAATGCCGTCCACAATGGACCAGCGACCAGCGCAACCTCATCGCAGAGCGCTTGAATCGCCTCTTCGTTCGAGCTGATCTGACCGCGCATCCACACCGCTGAGCGCACAGTATGCCTCCCACACTGGTTGCGTGGAAGAGAAGGATCTCGAACTGCCATGGCGAATCGAACAACACCCACATGTCCACATGCAGACTTTTGCTCGACGGCCAACCGCCCAACGATACCGACGGGCACACGCCGAGAGGAAACGCCTGGCTACGCTGCAGCTCAGCGACACGCCGCCGGGCCTCACAGACCCTGGAGGCCCTCGGAGCCGCAGGCACGCAGCACGACACACGGGGACGGGCGCTGTCCGTGTCGTGGTCGCGAAGGTCGCTCGACAAGGGAGGAAACGGTGGCCTGGCAAAAGCAGAGGAGCGAACGGCAGCTCGCGCCACTAGTCTCTCGGGCGCGGGGATGGGATGCAGGCAACGGTTCACGAGGTAACGCAGACACACACACACACACACACACACACACACACACACACACACACACACACACACGCACACACACACACACACACACACACACACACACACACACACACGCGCACGCACGCACGCACGCACGCACGCACGCACGCACACACACACAGACACACACACACACACACGCACACACGCACACACACGCGCATACACACGCACACACGCACACACAGTCGCATAGACACGCGTCCATACGACAAGCGCAGTGTGACCACTGCCCTGAGCATACTCAAGCACAGAATACGCCAAGAGGCGATCGGTTTCCTCAATAAGCTGTGGTATCATAGGCACCTCGCTGCAGGAGTCAACAGGCGGCTGCAAATGTGATGTCAGGACGAGCTTCATGATATAGACAACAGGAGCTGGGCTCGTTCAGCTGAGGGAGCAAGGACACATATCATCGGGTCGGGCCGAATACAATATTCGCAGAGGAATCGTTGATCCACTCGATCCACTTATGCTTGAACCTGCCCCGTGTAAACTTGACTCCGCATTGAAACGGTAGGTTTTCTTTGGGCGTACTCGAGCTAGACAAACTACCAATGCCCCGAGATCGCGAAGCCATGCTGCAGACAACGAGATGCAACAGGCAGCGGCTTTGCAACGACTGATAGCCACGCACAAATCTCAGCAACCACAATATGATGCACCAATGCCGATGTCATTGCACACGTATTGTCAAACTCACCTATACAAGAACGACATTACACAGGTGATCTTCCGTAAGACATACCCTGCAGCTCTGCACAACATGTAGGTACTCAGTGCATGTGGTCCCCTTAGGACTGGATTCGAGGCGCACCCCCATCTCCACACATGCTCCTGACTGTGGCCCGTGCGTGAGGACATGGTCACGCACTCGAAGCTGCAAGCTAAAGCCTTCTGCCCAACTTCTTCGCACGATGGGCCTATTGCAACCCTCACTCCCAAGACGGCTCAACACTGCCCAAAGACAATCGCAAGACTCTGCGAGACGGTTCTCTAAAGCCCTTCCAGACGGCCCCAAAACACTCCCGCCCTCCACCCACCCCCGAGAACCCCACAATGCCCCGGAACCTCTTCAAGCGGATGGAACCCTCCTTCTCCTCCTCCTCCCTCCTGCTCCTGCCCCTCCACACGTGCCCCCCCTCCCCCTTCTCCCCGAGCGACCCTCCCCCACTGGCTGAATATCTCGTCCATGTGCCCTGTCTTCAGGAAGTCGAGGCCGTACACGTGCACGGCCCGCAACCGAACGTTAGAAACTGCCTCTCTGGCAGAGGAAAGCGGCCAAGAAGAGGCGAACTTCTGCCGGCCCATTTGGCTCCCTCACCTCCCCTCTTCCTCCTCCACCCTCCTCCATCGCTTTTCCTTCTGCATATGTTATCGCTGTCGCACTCCAGGCGTGTCGGTAGGGCGAGCTGGGCGTTTCGCCTGCGACTTCCTCACCATTCATGATCCTTACACTGTAAAAATTACTGGAGACCCTCGGATGGAGGGTGGGCCGTTTTCAACACGTGGCTCTTGCTTTAGCGCTGGGCAGATTCGTGTAAAAGAATTGCCACAATTTCAAGGATGGCGAGCGGGCCGTTTTCAACAGGTGGCTCTCGCCTTACCGCCGCGCACATTCGTCTTAAACATGTGCTAAGAGTTTCACGAATGGAGGGCGGCCGGTGTTCAACAAATAGCTCGTGCCCTAGAGCCGCGCGCATTCGTCTTCACAAAGTGCAAGAATTTCGTGGATGGAGGGCGGACAATTTTCGATATGTGGATCTCGTCTTAACGCCGCACGCATCCGTGTTACAAAAATGCCAGGGAGCTTCACAGTTGCAGGATGGTCCGTTTTCAAAATATGGCTCTCGCCTTAGCGCGGCCCACGTTCGTGTTAAACATTTGCCAGAGTTTCACGGATAGAGGGCGGGCCGTTTTCAACATGTGGCTCTCGCCTTACCGCCGCGCATCTTCCTAATATGAATTTGCAAAAAGTTTCAAGTATTCTCATGGTTAACGGTCCAGAATAGGTGTGTCGGCACGATGTCGGACTGTCAGGGTGCAACAACAGTTACGTTGATTCGCGGCGTTGAAGTACCAAAAACTGCGTTCTGGCATGACTCAGGATCGTCATGACGACAGTAACGGTGATTCAGTCCCCGGAGTGGTGTTCTGGCACAGTTCGCTATTGTCAAACGGTTGTCTTCCAACGGGGCGCTTGCCTGTGAAACTGAATCCTTGTTGGGACCTGTGAAGGAACTTGGAGCCTTCTCCTCCTCCTCCCTTCGCCTCGAAACCTGCTCCCCGAATCTGTCCTGCAGCGCGTTATGACAAGGACTTCGAAGTGAATCCAGCTATGGCGGCGAGGGCGCGCCCCCTCTCACGCACACACCCACACCCACACACGCACACACACACGCACACACACGCACGCACGCACGCACGCACGCACGCCCCCCCCCCCCACACACACACACACGCACACACACAGATGAACATACACAAACGCACATACGCGCGTCAAATCGCCCCCCTCCCCCTCCAGCTCCTTCTGCTCCTCCTGCTCCTCCTCCTCCTCCTCCTCCTCATCCTCCCTCCTGCTCCTCCTCCCTCGTGCCTAGTCATCTTCCTCCATCCTGCCTGCTCCTGATCCCCCTTGCACCCCATGGGGGGCGAAGAAGGGGGCCGGAAGTGACCCAACCCCACCGTCGGCAGCAGGGGCGGGTCCTCAACGGCTTCATGGGGGAAGTCAGAAAGAGAGGAAGAGAGAGAGAGAGAGAACAATACAAAACGAGAGATAGAGAGAGCGAGAGAGAGACCACGAGCAAACTGCCGCGACAGCAGCGACCTGGGCTTTGCATACGAGGGCGGGAGGGAGAGAGAGCACAACAACAAAAGATAGATGGGGGAGCGGGCACAAAGTACTTGAAACGAGCGGCCGCACGCACGGTCGCCTTATCGACCTCGTTGCGCGGAAACGAAGGCTGCGCTTCAGGCGCCACCTCGTCTTCCTCGTCCTCGTCCTCGTCCTCCTCGACGTCTGGCTGACCTGGTCACCCCCCTTCCACGATTCAAGGCACCCTGGAGCGCGTGCTGCAAACATTCGAGTTGCGCAATGCACTACCGACGAAGACGACTAAGTCGAAAACAAGACGCGCTGCGCCCTGCGAGGTCCAAGGCAATCACAGGCCTAGGTGCAAGAAAAGAGGCAGGAAAGAGAAGGGGACCATCGCCATGCCAGCCTGGGCACTGGTGGAGTGAGAAGTGAGGCGGAGGATGAGGCGGGAAATGCAGCAAGGGAGGTATGTCGGAATGGAGGGAGGACATCCTCCACCTCCTCCTCCTCCTCCTCCTCCAGCTCCTCCTCTCCCGCACTCCTCCTCGTCCTGTTCGCCCTCCTCCTCCTCCTCCTCCTCCTCCGACTCCTCCTCCTCCTCCTCCTCCTCCCCCTCCTCCCCACTCCTTCTCCACCACCTTAATGGCTCATCTTTCCTCAATAGTCCCCCCTCGCCTCTCAGAGGGACAGAGGGAGGAAGGAGCGAAGAGAGAGGCGGCGGGAGCCAGCCAGACTTCGCGCACTCGCGCCGCACGAAGTGCGAAGCTGCGCTACAACTTCGCGCTCCCGCCAAAACGCGAAGCTGAACCGCGCCACGGAGAGGAACGGCACTCTTGCCTGGACCGCGAACAAAAAACGACGCGCGGTCGCCCTCGCCCCCCTCCATACCTACCGCGGGGGGCCTGGGATCAAGAGGAGCATGCTGCGACTATGCAAATCTGCGCTACGGTCCAAGCATGGCCACAAGAGCGTGCATCAAGAGCACGGGCCCTTTCTCTGAGGGCCAAGGCCCCTTCTGACGTGGAAGGCCCAGACATGAAGAGCGCAATGGTGCTTGAACGAACGAACGACGAAGCTGCCATTGCCGGGAAGGGCTGGCGTCCCTGCAAGGGAGGCAGGCGCGCCTGTAGCGCACTGGCCCTGTAGGAGGACCGTGAACAGGTCTCAACATAAACATGGTGACTGAGCACACATGCGCAATCGGAAGACACGTGATTCTTGATCCTCGCACCGATTGCACGGGCCATTCGTGTCTGGGGCCCATACGGGGGGGCACGGCATCTCCGAGCTGTGGGAGGGTGCCCCACTTCAGGGCTCGACCCGAGGTCGGGCGAGAGAAACGAGGTGGGAGGAGGGAGGAGGTGGTGGACATTGCATGGGGGGTGAGAAGGTAGAGGGTTCTTTCCACGCCAAAAACGACATCTCTGCCTCGATCATTGACTCATGAGAACATTGCCAAGACGGGGCTGCGTCAGTTCAGCTGGATGATGGATGATGGTTGTTAGCCGATGGCGGCTGTGAGCCGATGGCGGCTTGAGTGAGGAGGTAACAGAGGAAGGAGTGGGTATGGAGGATGCGAACAGATGAGAGATGCTGAGGAAGATGAGGGAGACGTGCGAGGACGGATCACAAAAAGGAAGGGGGAGGGTGATACCAGAGGAGCGAGAAGGGAGGAAGCGTGAAGAGCTAGAGGAATGAGGAATAGGGAGGAGAGGGCAGATGCTGGAGAAGGAGTGAGAAGGTTCCGTAAAAACCGCGGAGACGAGGATCGGCGTCGCGGGGAAGGCGGCCAGAGGGAGCTCTGAGAAGGCGTGGGCCTTCTCAGAAACGACCCCGGCCTGTTGATTTGACCGGGCTGGCCGCTCCTCTCAGAGACTCGGGGATGGACATAACCCCCTGTAGCAAAACGCGGTTTAGTGAAAACGACCTCGGGCCCGAACCTGGCGGGCGCAAGCCTGGAAAATAACGGCCGAGGCGCCCTCTCGAGAACCGACAACGGACAATTCGCTGACCGACGCGTCGGGGCAGGGGCCCCCTGCCCGCCCCCGAGACACGGGGAGGGGGGGGACGGCCACACCCCCGCCCTGCCCCCGACCCGGACCCGCTCAGAGCCCGCTCTCCGACCCCCGCCCAGGGTCCGTCCCTGGGCAGTGGCTCGAGCCGCGTCCGGCGTGAGGTCGGGCCTGTCCCCCTACATGAGGATTTGGGACGAAACATTCAAAATACAAAAATATGGGGAAAAAAAACATGCTTCCAAGCGGCCCCTAAGAGCTTCCCAAGAGGCCCACAAACTACCCCCAAGAGGCCCCCAAGAGCGCTCGTCGTCGTCGTCGTCGTCGCCATTCAGGGTCGGCGGCACTGGCCGTAAGGCCTTCGCAATAAAAATATGGAAAAAACATGTAGCCGAAAAATCGTCCCCAGACTATTTTTGGCTATTTTTGAACAAGAGGACCTCCGAAAACCTCACAGATGACGTTGTCGACGACGCTGTCACTGTTGCGCGCGCGGAAAGAAGCATCGGCCACCGTGCACCCTGGAACGTTGAGGCGTGGCAGAACGCCAATTGCTGCCTGGCAAGGTTTCAGTAAGTCTCCTGAGGACCCCAGCTCTCCCCACGCTTCGCTGCGTGCATCCCCCTCCCCCATCTCCTGAGGCTCTCTGACGGCGTAAGACGGCTTACAGGCCCAAGAACTGCACAAGAGGGCCTCCAGACGGCCCAAATGCGGCCCAAGAGGGCCCCGAGACGGCCCAGGGGGGCCACAGGACCACCGGAGAGGGCCCCACGGGACCCCCGAGACTGCCTCCCCAACAAGGAGCCCCAGACGGCCCCGAGAAGCTCCGAACCGGCCCCAGCAGCGCGCCTCAAGAGCCGTGGCGACGAGAGGCGCCGCGCGCCGAAGGGCCCTGCTGGGCGGTGCCCGCAAGGTCGCCACGCCGAGCGCTCTTCGCCGGCACGGCGGCGGACCTGCCGCGGGCACCCGGAGCTGGACGGAGGCCGCGGCGGGTGCACCGCAGCGCCCGGGAGCGCCACGCCGTGCCTGCCGCGCACGCTGCGCACGCTGCACCAGCCGCGCGCGCTGCGGTCGCAGCGCACACGAGAGGCTGCCCCAGCGCCCACCCCGTGCTCCGGATCCTCGCGGCAGGCACGGGAAAAGCTGCTGCCGCGACGACGTCCGCGTGGGCTTTTCGGGCACCGCGTGGGTCCTTCAATCTGAAACGATCGCGACCTTCCTTCAACGAAGATCGTTCGATGCTGGCCGATTCTGGGGCACCAGTGGCGTTTGATCCTGAACGCCCGCACCGCAGGTCTCCTCCGGCGCGCGAACCTGCCACACGAGCATGTCGCCGCTGCGTCAACGAGGCGCGAACCTGCCTGCCGTGAAGTGTGACCAGGTGAGTGCGACTCCGACACCGCCAGGAACAAGAGGGGCAGAGGAATGTCCTCGTGGTGGTGTGTCGTTTTGGGGGGGCGCTCCGCTCGAGACACATCCAAGCTCCAGCCTGAGGAGGCATCACGGAGCCCATCGCAAGGGGAGCTTTCTGCGACGGGGGGTACTGGCAGAGCCCAAGAATCCCGCTCTCGTCGCGAAATCCTCTAAAACAAGTCCCACCACCCCGAACTTGGGGCACCACGCACAGGAAAAACCATGACTGGGGAGGTCTGCCACAACTGGGCCAATTGTCGAGTCACCCATCCTCAGAATGCCACTAGCTAGGACCGCTGCATGCACCTCCAGAGACGATATGCTCAACCTATGATAACCGCAGTTACGCATGCCGGATCCCCGCACTGTCCCCACCTTGCCCGGCGTTGGCGCCGACCTCGGCGTCGCCGGCCTTCTTCACGTCAACGCTGGCCTGGCCAGGTCCCCTGCTGTGCTCAGCCAGGAGAAGCAGCAACGAGGGGAACTTTGGATAAACCAGGACACTGGCGCACGCCCGAGAATGGTCTAAGTCCTCGTTCCTGGAGTTCTCAAAGCAGCGCTCCTTGGCAAGCCACGGTGGGCTCTCCTGGTGGTACGCCCAGGCGGCGGCGCACGCACGCCGCTCGCGTCGTCGTCGTCGTCATCGTCGTCGTCGTGGTCGTCGTCGACGGCGTCGCGGGGCCGACCGGAACACGCCGTCGCTCGTGGGGTGCGGGGCCTCCCGGGCCTGCTCAGTGGCACGCAGGAGCGACGACAACCACCGAGGGCGACGGCGACGGCGCTGACGACGGCGCTGACGACTGCGCTGACGACGGCGCTGACGACGACGACGCTGTCGCTGACGACGACGCGGACGCTGACGCTGACGCTGACGACGAAGACGACGACGCCGACAACAACAACGACGAAGACGACGACGACGAAGACGCAGACGACGCGGCCGCAGGCGGTGGCGGCGGCGGCGGCTGCGAAGGCGAGGCCGACGACGCCGGCGCCGCCGATAGCGGCCATGGCGCCGACGCGGACGCCGTCGCCGCCGATGCCGGCTGCGGGCCGCGACGACGACGACACCGACGGGGGCGCGGCGCCTTCGCCGATCGGGCGGGGCCCGTCGCCGCGCCCTCCTCGGCCTTGGCCGGCAGCGCGCCAGCCGCCGTCTTGGCCGCGGTGCCCTCCGCGCGCGCGGAAGGCACGTGGTCGTCGTCGCCGCAGCCGCCGCTGTCGTGGCCGTGGTCGTCGCGATCACCAGCGTCGCCATCGCCATCGCCGTCTGTCGTGGTCGCCGTCGTCGCCAGCATTGTCGTCGAGGCCGCCGCCGTCGAGTTCGCACTCTCCGTCGTTGTCTTGGTGGTCTTGGTGGCCGCAGTCGTCACGGTCGTGCCCGTGGAGCTGATGGTCGTCGTCGTCGTCGTCGTCGTCGCCGTCACCGTCGTCGTCGTCGTCGACGACGTCGCCGTCGACGTCGCCGTCGCCGTCGCCATCGCCGTCGCCGTCGCCGTCGCCGTCGCCGTTGCCGTCGCCGCCGCCGCCGCCGCCGCCGCCGCCGTCGTCGTCGTCGTCGTCGTCGTCGTCGTCGTCGTCGTCGTCGTCGTCGTCGTCGTCGTCGTCGTCGTCGTCGTCGTCGTCTTCGTCGTCGTCGTCATCGTCATCGTCGTCGTCAACGTCGTCGTCTTCGTCGTCGTCGTCATCGTCATCGTCGTCGTCAACGTCGTCGTCGTCTTCGTCGTCGGGGGCCTAGGAGGCCCCAAAGAGAGGCCTCAAGGCACCCCCAAAACCGCCTCCAGGAGGCTTTGAGAAGCCTCCTAAGCGATCCCTACATTCATCCGAGGGGCTTCTGACCTCCAATCAAGGCACGGTGGTGGGATGGACGAATGGCGCTAGATTGCCCCAAACATCTTTTGTTGCACTGACATGCCCGATCCTAGAACTTCCTCGACCCTCGATCTTCCCTATATTTCCCTAGGCTTGCTCGAACTTCTCGATACATAACCGGTAACTACCCTTCAAACTCTCTGTATCTGCCCGATGTCTCCCAATATCACCCGAACTTCCCTATATTTCCCGATATCTACCCTTCGAACTTTCTCGACTCTCGTCCCTCGCCAGCAGTCTGTGCTGGCTGGCTTCCCTCGGTCGTCGCCTTTGCCAGCGGCCGTCGTCGCCAGCGGCTGTCTTCCGTGGGGGGGGGACGGCTTCGCCGCGGTGGTCTTCGCCGGCAGTCGTCCTCGCTGGCGGCCGTCTCCGCTGAGGTCGGTTTCGCCGCGGTCGTCTTCCCCGGCGGTCGTCTTCGCAGGAAGTCGTCTTCGCAAGCGGCGTTCGCCCCGTCGCCTCCGTCGTCGCCGCCGCCTCCGTCGTAGCCGTCGGCGTCGTCGTCCGTCCTCGCCGGTCGTCGCCGCCGTCGGCGTCGCCTTCGTCGTCGATCGGGGCCGTCGATACCGTCCAGTGGGCAGGTCGGGTGGGCGGACCCCGCAGGCGGGTCGGGCGGGCGGACCCTCCTGGGCTGGTCGGGCGGGCGGGGCATCAAAGCGGGCGGGCGGGCTCGCCAGCAACCGAGAGGGCCGACTCGCACCGGCGGGCAGGCGTAGAACGACGGGGGGGGGCGTGAGGCGAAGCGAAGACGACCGGGCGAGACCGACCACGGCAACGCCGACCGCGGCGAAGGCAAGCGGGCGAAGTCGACGGCGGCGAGGACGACCACGGCGAACGACCGCTGGCGAAGGCGAAGACCATCGGGCGTTCCCAAATGGAGGGGGCGAGAACAAGAGGGGGGGGCGAAGAAGCGAGCACCTCCCGTGCCCCTTGTAGACCCTGCGGGGCAATGTTACGGCACCCAGTGCACGAAAGGTGCCCGTTTCTTCGCTCCCCCACGTTCTATTGCCCCCATTTCAAAGGGACGAGGGACGCACAAATAAATACACACAACTCCCAAGATTCCCCATATTCTTCCATACTTTCTGGACGTTCGTCTCCCCCTTCCACTGCCCACATGTTCCACATGTTCCCGGGAATCGACGCTGATGCGTGTCTTTGCGTTTTCCCCTCCTGCCATTGAGCAACGCCCGAAACCACCGCTGGCGGAGACCACCGCGGCAAAGCCTACCCCGGCGCAGCCGACCGCGGCGAAATTGACCTGCCCCGCGGACGCGCGCGCGAGCGGCGAAGAAAAACCGCGCAGGAGGCCCCGGCGCGGCGCGGCCTGTGCGCTGCCCTTAGCTGGCCCCATCGCGCCGCCGGGCGGCCCGCCTTCTCAGGAGGGTGGGGCGGGGGGGGGGGGACCAGAAGGCAGCAGCAATCCCTCCTCCGGGAGGGGGGGAACAGAAGGCAGCAGATCCTCCTCCTCCTCCCCCTCCTCTTCCTCTTCCTCCTCCTCTTCCTCCGTCCTCCTCCTCCGTCCTCTTCCTCGTCCTCCTCCTCCTCCTATTCCTCCTCCTCCTCCTCGTCGTCCTCCTCCTCCTCCTCCTCCTCCTCCTCCTCCTCCCCCTCCTCCCCCTCCTCTCTCCTCCCTCCCCCCCTCCTTCTCTCATGTTCGTTTTTTTCATCCTCCTCCTCCTCCTGCCTGTTTCTGTTCCTCCTCCTCCTCCTCCTAGATTTTCTGTCCCCTCTTCCTCCTCCTCCTCCTCCTCCTTTTCCTCCTCCTCCTGTTCCTTCTCCTCCTCCTCCTCCTCCTCTTCCTCCTCCTCCTCCTCCTCCCCCTCCTCATCATCATCGTCATCAGCATCACCATCATCGACATCATCATACTCATCATCGTCATCCTTATTCCCCTCACCCCCTCTTCATCCCTCGTCGCCCCAACGGGGGCGACAAAAACAATCCGCTGAACGAGCAGTATTACAACTGGGCCCTTTAGCGAATTCACATCTAAAAAAAGAAACGAACGGGAGAAGCCTGTTTGATGAAACGCTCGCTTCTCCTGCAGCACAATGACGGCACCATCACGATGGTAAAAACGGGACACGATCGAGCACTGATTGCCACCAAGCGCTGCAGGTTGGGGGGGGCAGCAACACACACAGAAACAAACACACACCCATGTGTGTATATCTATATATATACACCACACACACGACAGTTTAGCACAGACCCGCTATGGGTCGGTGGCGAACGGCGGGGGGAGATGATAAGGAACAGGCCAAGTTAAAAATGCAGCGGGGCTTCTCAGGCGGCGGGGAAGCGAAAAGGAAAAGGGTTTCTTAGAACGCCTTCTGAAACATCCCCCAAACAAACTTGTCAGACCACCGGAGGACTTCCGAGCCTTCCGAGAAGGCCCGGCCCCTCTCGTTTCCTCCCCTGGGGCTGGCCGCCGAATGGTGTCGAGGCGGTTTGTCCTAAATCGTTCTACGTGTTCTGAAACCCACAATCGGTTTGGGCCCCCCGACTACCCTGACCTCCCAAAGTGCTAAAAAAACCCTTCCAGACCTATAAACTAATCTGGATTGCTCAAAACTTCGATCGCAATTCAAACGTCAAAATCCTGGTGTTATGTTTGGGTTCTCTTGCCAGGTCGGGATATTGCCCCCCGCCCCCCCTGGACTGTCGGTCACCATCCCCCGTATATTAATCTGGACCCCCCCGAACTATTGTTCCCCCCATGACTATTGGTCACCATCCCCCGTCTATACATCTGCCCCCCCCCCCTCGAACTATTGGTCCCCGCCCTAGACCCTGGACGATTTCTGCCTCGCCCCCGGATTACTGCCCCCCCCCCCCTGGACCACGAGCCCCACCCCGGACTATTGGCGCCCCCCCGGACGACAAGCGCCCTCCCAGGACTAGCGGTATTGGTCCCCTAAGAACTACCGAGGGCTACAGAGTAGTCGTTAAAACGCGGTACTGGTGCAGCGCGACGCAAAGAGTCGGCACGTTGTTGGCGCGGCATCAGCAATTAGGGCGCCTTGCCGGCGCGCGCCCTCGCCCCTCACATCGGGCATGCCCCCGGGGGCCCGGCGCAGACCCCAAAGTTGGTGGGCGCTGCCGCCTGCGCAAGATGCCTGACAATCCGCGCCTAACCTCGACCACTACATCCCTTCCCCCACCCCTCCCTCACGCCCCCCCTGCTCGCTGGCCGCGGGCGCGGCGCCCCCGCCAGCTCACAGGGCGCCGCCCTGAGCGCGCGTCCGTCCGCCACGGAGCGCTCTGCAGCCGCCGCCAGGCCGCGCGTGCCACGCCCTGGCGGCGACGAGGGGCGAAGCGGAAGACAGACGACGCCCCTCCCCCTCCTTGCCCTCCCTCCTTCTCAGGCTGCCAGGTCTCGGAAAGCATTGCGAGGATTAGTGCGTGCTTTTTGTTCTCCGCATGCGCGCGCCGCGACGACGCGGGCGCGCGCGGGCGCGCGAGCGAAGGCGCGCGCGTCGCCGCGGGAAAAACCCGCGCGGCGCGCGCCCCCCCCCCCCCCCCCCCATCGCGGTAGCGCCGCCCGCGGCGCGTCGAGATGTCGCGGAAACAACGCGCGGGACAGAGACGGGGGGGGCGCGGGAGAAGGGGGGCCCACGAGCGTTCACATGCACTTATGCGAGACACTGGGCGCGAAGGCCTTGGCCGGCTTTCCCCCCGCCCCCCCCCCCGCCCGCCACCCCCCCCCTCCTCCGCCGACGCGTCGCGGAAAGAGGCCGCGCTGAAGGATCGCGGCGCCGAGCAAGTGTCGCGCCCCCCGCGCCCCGCAAATGCGCCGCGAAGGATGCCGCGCTGAGGGACCACCCGCTGCGCGACCTCTGCGACGTCGACGATGCGCCGCCCCCGCCGCGCCCTGCGAGCGAGCCGCGAAGGGAGGCCGCGCCGAGGGGCCGCCCACTATGCACCCCCTGCGGCGTCGAGGAAGCACCGCTCCTGCCGCGCCCTACAAACGCGTCGCGGATTGCGGCCTCGCTCGGGGACCACCCGCTGCGCGCCCCCTCCGGCGCCGAGACAGCGCCGCGCCTGCCGCGCCTGCCGCGCCCTGCCAGCGCGCCGCGGATAGAATCCGCGCAGAGGGGCCGCCCTCTGCGCGCCCCCTTGGGCGTCGACAGAGCGCTGCCCCCGCCGCGACCTCGAGCGCGTCGCGGAAAAAGGCCGCGCCGAAGGGCCGCCCTCTGCGCGCCCCCTGCGGCGTCGAAGAAGCGCCGCTCCTGCCGCGCCCTGCGAGCGCGCCCCGGATAATGGCCGCGTCGAGGAACCGCCCGCTGCGCGCCCACCATGCGGCGTCGAGGAAGCGCCGCGCCATGCGAGCGCGCCGCGGATAGAGAGGCCGCGTTGGGGGGACACCCTGCGCGCGCCGCGCGCGGCGCCCAGAAAACCCGCGACGCCCCGAAAGGGCCCGCAAGAGGCCCCAAACAGCTCCGAAGAAGACCCGCGAGGCCCCCGAGGCGCTTCAAAAAGTCCAACATGGCTACCCGAGAGCGCCCAGAACGGCATGCACGAGGCCGCCCCAAGGGGGCCCCCGAGAGCCCCTGGGAAAGCTACCGAGATCCATGCGCACTCCTCAGAGGCCCCTGACCCACAACCCAGACGCGTCGGCGGATGGGCCGGATGCCATGGATAAATGACACGTGATATACCCGACCGCAGATACATTCACTTGCACGCGCGCCTACTTCGCGCGTGCACCGGCGCCCGTAGAAGCGCCACCTGCGGACGAATACCTCAACTCAGTTGCCCGCTTTCTTCGCCGAGAACATGCCCATGCCCTCTGGACGTCGCTGGGGCTGCTCTTCTTTGGCCCCTGCTTCGCGCCGCTGGCCCCAGCGCCCTCGGCGGTCTCCCGCGGGGGCGGCGCGCCGCCGCAAGGGCCCCGTCTGCGGAGACGGTCGCCCCTCGCGCGGTCGGCGCGCCCATCTCCGAAGACAGCCGCCCCCTTGCTCGGCTGCGCTGGCGCTGGGCGACGGGCCGCTCGGCGACCTGGGGCCGAGGGCGAGGGGGGGGGGGTCGGGGCAAGCCGAGAATATCGACGCGAATTCCGATGCGGCTTCCGACGTGGATTTCTGGTGGCGCTTCGGGGGCGGCGAAGCATGCGAGGGTTGTGGAGAAAACGAGCTCGAAATCTCACTCGAAATCCTCTCCGAAATTCACGCGTGGATCCGCGTCGAAATCCGCCAAAGAAACCTGGCATCGAAATCAACCTCGGAAACCACATCGAAATACACCTCAAACCCACAATTAAATTCACCAAAAAATCCGAGAGGTCCCCCTGGAGGAGCGGGCGGCTTCCGATGCGTGGTTTGAGCGCACATTGGCAGCCTTTTCATGAAGTAGGGTTCGCAGGGCACCACCGCCTCCATTTCGGCACTTGAGACCCACCGCGGGCCCCGCGCCGCGGGCGCGACAGCCCTCTGAGCCCGCACTGGTTGCAGACACCTGCTTGGGGGCCATCGCCACGGCTCCCTCCCTGGCCTCGTCCTCGGGTCGGGGGTCGAGGCGGGAAGCCGCGGCGGGGTGGAAACTGTGACTGGACGACCGTTGCGGGATGGAGGAGCAGGGGAAACACACGTGGCATGCGAGAAAACGTGCGTGGCGGCACCCTGGTTTTGGCGCGGCGGCCACATGGCTCACGAAAAACCCGCCCGTGTCCAGCACGCGGTCACGACAGCCCTCCTCGGCCGAACCGTCTGCGATGGCGTATGATATACAAGATCCACCGCCGCCCCTATGTCAGCAGACCCTTTTCACACGCTTCGCAGCACCATGGGGGGATCCACCGAAGGCCCCAACGGCAGGGTTCGCATGGCACCGCCGCCCCAATGTCAGCACACCCTTTTCACACGCTTCGTGGCCTCATAGGGAGCTCCGCCGGAGGCCCTAGTGGCAGGGTTCGCGTGGCACCGCCCCCACTTCGTGGCACCATAGGGATATCCGCTGAAGACCCAAGTGGCAGGGTTCGCATGGCACCGCCGCTTCAATTTCGGCGCACCCCTCACACGCTTCGTGGCACCATAGGGAACTCCGCCGACGGCCCCATTGCACCGCCGCCTCCATTGCGGCACGCACCTCACATGCTTCGCGGCCTCATAAGGGAGCCCCACCGAAGGCCCCAATGGCAGGGTTCGCATGGCACCGCCGCCGCCATTTCGGCACACCTCTCACACGCTTCGTGGCCTCATGGGGAGCTCCGCCGAAGGCCCAAGTGGCAGGGTTCGCATGGCACCGCCGCGGCATACCCCTCATGACATGTTTCGCGTGCCCGTAGGGAATTCCACCGAAGGCTCCACTGGCAGGGTTCGCAAGGCACTGCTGCCCCCATTTCTACATACCTCCATACACGCTTCGTGGCAGCATGGGGAGCTCCGCCGACGGCCCCAGTGGCAGGGTTCGTATGGCATCGCCGCCTCCATTTCGGCACACACCCCACACGCTTCGTGGCCCCATAAAGGAGCTCCACCGAGGGCGATGCTTACAACGGCGGCATTCAATGTTTTCCGGTTGGCCCCAGGCTGGGGGGAAGATGGCTTCCAAGACTGCCAATGTGGCTGTCAAGACGGCCAAGGTCACCCCAAGAGGACCAAAGATGACCGCATGATGCCCCCAATTCCGCCCAAAAAGCCACCAAGACGGCCAAAAGTAGCCAACCAATGACCCAAGACGCCCAAGGACGCCCCCAAGAAGCTTGCATGACGGCCCAGGAGGCCTCCAAGAGGCCCCCCAAAAAGGCCGGAAGAGACCAAAGCCACTGATTTTGATTATAGGATACTGGCAGTAGCATAATTTCGGCCTCCCGACGGCTCGAAACGGCCCAAGAGGCACCCAACATCGCCCCAATATCGTTCCAAAGGCCTCCACCATGGCCCCATGACGACCATGGCCCCATGACGACCCATGACGGCCCCAAGAGGTCCGCGGGATCAGTTTCCTTCAATGCCCACCCCTCCCTAAATCCATTCGTTCTCTCTGCATATCCCTGCCCCCTCCCTCCTGCTCCTTGGTTGGGCACCACTCATGCACAGCAGCAACGAGCGCGGCTTGCGATGGCGGGCGGGGTCTGAATGCAGACCACGTTGTGGCGTTCCTGGCCCGTCTGACGCCGTCTGACGCCGTTTGGGGCACCTCGCTGGGCCGTCTTGGGGCTCTCTTTGGGCGCTTGGGAGCCGTCTTGGAAATTAGTTTGGGCGTTTCGGAGGTTTTCGGGGACGTGGCGCTATGGCAGAATGTCGAGACAGGGGGGGGGAGGACGAAGAGGAAGACGAGGATGAGTAGAGGAGATAGGACAGTAAGAGATTCAGGAGGATGCAAAGCAATTCTTTTCGATGGGGGGCGAAGGAGGAAAGGGGGAAGGCGGGGGGGAACGCAAGGAGGATGAGAGTGAGGAGGATGAGGAGGACGACGAAACCGAGGACGAGGAGGAAGACGAGAACGAGGATACTGGAGGGAGAAGCAGGAGGAGGAGGAGGAGGAGAGATGAAGGAGGTGATGATGTGTAGGGGGGGAGGAGCAGCAGCAACAGCAACATCAACTGAAATTGCAGGGGGCAAGCGGAGAAAGGATAATGTTGATGCACTCTGCACGCAGTGGAAGCATGCGGGGCCCGCTGGCATCATTGCCCGAGGTTGTTCGACCACCACTCCGAAGCACGCGCAGCTGACATGTTCGCTTCGAAGTTCAAAATTGTTTTTCGCGCACATGCGATTCGCTTATCCCGCAGAGGACTTCCGAAACCCACTCAAGATTCAATGCTGATGTTGGAGGCCTGGAAATGGACACCAACACCAACACAGGGGTTTGCTTCCACAGGGGGAAGATGATCGTAGATTTCGGCGTTGGTGGTAATATTTCGGCCACCTTGGGAGCCAGACCCTTACCACCATCACCGAGATCGGGATCTTTCTTCCCTCGGTGGAGGAACACCGCCGATATTGGTGCTGGTGTCAATCTCCAGGCCTGCGACTGATCCTTCTCCTCCTCGAGCCTGCCGCGACCGCGCGAGGGCCCGGGCGGTGGCCCCTACCCAGCAGCCCCGCGGGCCGGC